AAATTTTGACCGCAGACCTTGGACATTCCAACAGGACTCAGCACCATCGCACTCAGCACGCGCTACCCAAGAATGATTACAAAATGAGTTTCCTCGCTTCATTTCCAGAGCACAATGGCCACCAAATTCTCCGGATACCAATCCGTTGGACTATAGTGTCTGGAGCATTTTAGAAAGCAAGATTGGCACTAAAAAATACAAAAGTGTCGATCATCTCAAGAAAGCGCTTCGCCGGGAATAGGCCAAAATACCGCTGAACAACATTCGGGCAACGTTGTTTCATTGGCCGTTTGAAGGCCATAATTCCTGCCAAATTTAAACTTATTCTAAAATTTTATGATATTTCCGAACTTTTTGCTTTCATTTAATAAAATGTGAAAAAAAATTAAAAATTATGCCGTTTGACTTTGTTGTAGTTTTTTTATCTCACCCTGTATGATACTCTACACTACTTTGCATATTAATTAGAGCTACGTGTAACAAATAAATATTTATATTGGGAATTTATGTGAAGTATGATCATTATTGATTGGGCGGTACGGCTTTATACCGGTACCGGCTTAAATTTGAATTCAGACGGAAGCTTTATTATAACCTTAATTGATTTCCACTAAGTTTAACTGAGTTATTTGTATGCCTTATTTCATCTCGTTCTATGTTATGACATGGGAAAGACTTAAATGAAAATCTTGCGAAACATATTGGAGATATAGCAATATCTCAACCGATTTTCAGCAAATTTGATGTTGGTTTCATGCTAAATTCGGTCGAATTTTCCAAAATCTATCCTAATTCGGACGAGAATATATGGGAGCCACATCTAAATTTGCAGCAATCTCGATAGAATTTTACAAATTAATTTCTAGGTTGTCTCTGATATCTTCTGCAGAATATCATTGTTGTAGAATGCATATTTCGACTGTGGGGAACTTAACTACCAAATCGGATGAAATATATATTTATGGGAGCTATAGCTATATCTGAATCTATTTTCACTAAATTTGAAGTACTTGTTTCTAGCCTGAATTCTGTCGCATTTGCCCAAACGGACGAATTTTACAAATTTGACGCAAAATAAAATTGAAATCTGTAATATATGGCAGCAATATTTAAATTTGGTCCGAATACCACCAGTTTCAATAGGGTTCGTCCGTGGGCCAAACAAATGATGTATTGAGATTTTCATCTGAATCTGAAAATAAATGACAGACATAATTCCCAGCAAATTCGACATATAGATGCTTTTCTATGATCATACGCACAATTAAAGTGAAATCGGACGGAGATATGTATGTGAGCTATATCAAAATGTATGGCCTGATTATCATGAAATAGGACTTGTATTTGGACCAAACAAATGATTTGCGGAAAATTTAGTCTCAATCGGATAATAAAAACGACCTGTACTTGGTTTACTAACACACACGGACATACCTACAGACGGATGGATTTGACCCAGAATGCGATTTTACGGAGATCATAAAAAGGAACTATGAATCTAACACGTCTCCATCTGCATGTTACAAACAAATGTACAAATACATAATACCCTGTACCACAGCGTGGTGGAAGCGACGCTGTAGCTTCGATCCACTTGCATAATTTTTTAGCTTGAGCAATTCGGAACTTATAACCAAATATATTAGTTTCAGTAATATTTTGATACTCAGAACCATAAAGAAATTTGCATAAAAATCTCCGTAAGTTCTAGTAGCCAATAAAAATCTTAGACGATATTTTAATGAAAAAAATCTGAGAAATCCTATTTTAATGTCCGTCTGTCGTAACAACTCTAACTTGTGAAGGGATTGACCCAAATGTTAAAAATTAGATGATGGTCAGAAGGATTGTCCACTTTTTCCAACGGAATTAGCTATAAATTGAAATTTTGAATTTCCATTAACAACTGTGGACTGAACTTCGACGTTCATATAGACCCCATTTGACCTATTTTTCCAACGGAATTGGCTATAATGTGGTATTTCGAATTTTCATTTGTACAAAAAAACTAATTGGTTTAGATTTCTTTTAAGTTCGTCATTCCGTTTGAAACACCTCGAAATGTATATTTTAGACTCCATAAAGTATATACATTCTTTTTCAAAATAAAATTATATGTCTTTGTAGCGGTGTCCGCCTTTCCATATGTGGAAATCAAACAAGCTTCCGAACAAAATAAAGTAGGTTGATACAATTTTATTCTGATATATTTTAGGTCCGTAGAACTTTTAGTATTAAAAATGGGCCGTATACCACCAGATTTAAGGTGTTTTGGTTTTTTTTTTTTTTTTTTGTCACAATTTGAATCCGAATATGCTTTAAATTGGCAGTCTGCTTTACCAGTATGTGGGCAACACCCTTATATTGTACTGTCCATATATGTTGGTACAGTCCCTACATAACTTCATCCCCAGATATTCGGTATTTCGAAGATTTGTGTCACACTTTTGACTGGATTTGTTTCAAATTTGGTATTGGGATTACGTAATGATTACTTCATCCTATGACAGTATATTGCCTATTAAAGTCCAAATCTTCGTATAGCCCCCATTAATGGTACCTCTTGCTATTTTGATGATTTAAGCTAAATTTTTCTACAGATTTACATCAAATCTGGTATTTGGATTTCGTAATAGCCCTTCTCTGGCAGCTATACACATGAGTATATTGCCTAGCCCCCATGTAACTGCAACATTTAATATTCGGATTGTTTAAATTTAGAATTTTCAAAGTAACTATTTATATCCTAAGAGTATTATGTCTTTATGCATTTTTTTTTTTTTTGTATTGTGGAGAAGAAAGCAAGATAGAAGTTACTTTTATTGATCTTCATATAATCACTTCCTGAGTCGATTTATGCATATCAGTCCTTTTGTCCGTCTGTCCATGTGTTTTTGTGAATGACACTTTCCAAACAATATTTGTTTAGCCAAGGACGAACCCTATTAAAATTGGTGATATTCGGTTCAAATTTAGATATAGCTCCAATATTTCCTATTTCGGGTTAATTGTGCACCAAATGTCCAGTGTCAGAAATGACTTCAATATTTCCAAATTGTTTTGCTGTTGTTATTGTCAAATGTCAAATACAAAATGGTTAATAAATCAACGTCGATTAAAAAATATAATGTCGTCACAATTTTTTACGGCGACACTTCCATGGGCACTTCCGCCCTAAGGCATGTACTTCAAATTTGGTGAAAATCAGTTCAGATATAGCTATAGCTCTCATATATATGTTTTTTTCGAAATAAGTACATAAAATTTTGTCAAGATCGATTCAGATTTGGATAGAGCACCCATATATATACTTATCCCATTTCAGGTTTTTTGTGCACCAAAGAGTTAATGTCAGCCCAAATAGACTGAATTCAACCCAGAGGCAAGTACTTCAAATTTGTTGAAAATCAGTTCAGATATAGCTATAGCTTTGGTACTAGAGGTACAAAATCCTCAGTTCCCAGTTCCCAAATTATGACTACTCTAAAGCCATCATAGGCTTTAGAGTAGTCATAATTTGGGAACTGGGAACTGAGGATTTTGTACCTCTAGTATTCAAATATAGTTTATAGTTGGTATGATCTACTTCACATAAATCCCCAATAAAAACTTTTTTTGTTACGGAAGCTCTACTAAATACGTAGAGTATCATATAGTTGGGAGCTCCACTAGGGTATGGTGTGTGTATCATATAGTCGGCCCAGCCTGACTTTTGGACATTCCTTACTGGTTTGCCTTTTGAAATTTTCTTTCAAATGTTGTTTACAATTTACTGTTGCTACTTATCAACGCGACACAAAATGTTTAAAGCAAGTTCGTTTTCATCATACTACGGCACCAATCTACAATCGGAATTTTGAGGATTTAAAGGATAATTTACTTGTAAGCGATCAAAACAATTTAGATATACAGGGTGAGATGAAAAAACTGCAACCAACTTCAGACTGCTGTCATTTTATTGTTTACAAGCGTACAAAAGCATTTTGGTGAGAATTTTCCAGAAAAAATAGTTGTTCAAAAAGTTATTCAAGTGATGGAATTCAATTCAAATGTGATTTCTTTATATTTGCCTGGAAAACCATAAGTGGCTATCGTTAGAGCACTCCAGCATTTAAATGTGAATAAATCTTTTGTGTCTCGTACCACCGCTCGTTACCGTGATACTGGTTGCGTAGCCCGACGTCAAGGAAGTGGACGGAAGAAAACAGCAACATCAGCATAAATGGTTCGAAAAGTAAAGAAGTAACTTGATCGAAACCCGCATCGCAGTGGCCGAAAAATGGCTCGTGAGCTGAACATATCGCAATATTCCATTCGGCAAATATTAAAAAATGAGCTCGGGGTAAACCCATTGAAATTCCAAAAAGTGCAAGAACTTACACCGCAACAGAATGAAAATAGACTCAAAGCACCTTCGATTGGGCACCAGAACTCAAGCGCATGCCATGGTGATGGTGTGGGCCGCCAAAGCAGCCGACGGTCGCTTTCCGCTCGTATTAATCGTCTGTGGCATCAGAGACTGTATATTACAATGTTTTAATTTCCCCATGTTGGAAGGTATCAAATGTTCGTCTCGGCAAAACCTAACGCTAATTTTCCCTTTCAGTTTTACTATAATAGCCATTCATTTATTTCAGTATCCTAGATTTAGCCGCTTCATTGGTCATTCGATAGCCAGTCATCACAATTCTAGAAATATATTTTAAAAATTATAGAGACTCTGGTTTTAGCCTGAGCATTGCCCTTTTATTAACGTAGATTATGTTTTTATTAATTCAGTCAACACTTAAATCTGTTAATTGTTGACTTAGTATGGAGTGAACTAACAATATTTTAATTGAGTAAAAAATACAATAATTCCTTTGCTAAGCCCCGGAAAACTAAATTTTTTTAAGCAAATATTAGATTTCGTTTAGACTTGTATGTATATGTACAGTGCCACCTGATTAACTTACCATATTCCATTCAACTTTGAGAAAAATAAAATAAAAAACAAAAACTTTATTATTATTTTTTTAATTTTTTCGAATAGTTTTTATTTTTGTATAAGAAATGCTATGAACTATGAAATAAAAAGTCAGTTATAAATAAAAAATTTCCCCGTTAAAATATTGGAAGAATTTTCTTAAATAATGTTGTTGATATAATTTTGCAAAACAAAACAATTTTAATTAATTAATTAATTATTATTGATCACAATACACATTCTAAGGTTATGATGACGATGATGATTTAAAACCAGTTATCTTTTTTTCGTTTTGTTTTGTCAACATTCTGTTATAACTTTGAGCTACTGTATGAACGTACGGCTTAATAGGCTGCTACTGCTGATTTACGGTTTGGATGTATTTATTTACAACAGCCACCTGCATTGCCGCATTTGTATGTATGTATGTCGGTCGGTCTATATTGTAGTTTTTGTATGTGTGTTTCTTTTTAAGGTATAAATATTAAATTTAATCTAACGTTAAATATATTTTATACATTATATGACATCATATTTTTCGTTTCGGTACTATTCGATTCGTTTCGGTACTATTTTCCATATTTTCATTTGATACGGGGATCCTTTTCGCTCTGCTTTGCTTTACATTACTTGATACATTATTTTATTATGTGTTGTGTTGTTGTTTTTTTCTTTTTTGTTTTGTCAACATTCGTTGGAAAATTAAAAAATGAAATTATTTAATAAAAGCTTATTTGCTATGAAATAAAAATAAAATAAAAAAACGTCTCTTATATTCTGGCTAAATAAAGTGTGGTACTTAAAAATGTGGGTTTCCGTTATCTTTTGTTTTGTTTTGTTTTGCTCTTAACTAACTATGTATATTTATAATAGTTCTTAATTAATAAATTTTAAACGCTATAATACAATTGATGCCATAATCATCACACATGCCAATGCCATTCTTCTCCGATCTTGGCATTCCTTCTAATTTCTAGGTTCCTTGTCGTTTTGTTGCGTCGTCACATTTGTTTTTGTACATATTCCTAGCTAGATTAAAAGTAGATTATCTTACAATCTAATTATAACTCTATTAAATCTAGAAAAAGAAGAAGAATAAATGGGTTTTACTTTCGAACATAAGAATATGTTTGTATGTATTGTATGTTATTTGCAAGGTAATAATGTAATACAATGTGTTATTGTACGCACGTATGTATGCATGTATGTGTGTGTTATGTTGATAAATTTAAACTTTTTTTGTTTCGTTTCGGTGTAATTACAAAAGTTGTTCCGTCCCTTAATATCTACTGGGGAGTTAATAAAGTTTGCATTGTTTCGAGTTCGAGAAACAAACTCAATTCGATTCATAAAAAATAAGAGAAAAGAAAAACTACATCAGTCATTTTGGCACACACCAGACAACCACCACACTCCTATCGACGTAATAATTTGTTTGCGAGTTGCTTTTTTTTGGTTATAACAAAAAACACGAGAGATCATAAATCTGAGAAATGTTTTCTTTGTTTTATTGCTGCTGATGTTTTTTTTTTTTTTTTTTTGTTACTGCTTAGCCATATTTGTTATCGCAACGAAGCGGAAAAAATGAAAATTTTGGTTGGCATACATTTTGAAGTAATAATTTTTAAAAAACTTTCCGTAGGAATATGTATAGGATGGAAAGAACTCAATCGACAACAAGGCGATTTTGGTAAAAGCGCAAATTTCCACTTTAGAAATATAACCTTATGGAAAAGTAAAATGCATACTTTGGATTAAAAAATAGATGCATTCTAGATTAAAGAGGTATAAAGGTTTGCTCTTAAGCCATCATTTAAAATTAATATTTTTTTAAAGCAATTTATGTGTAAACCTCGATAACAGCACCATTATCAGGAAGAGCTTTAATCCCATGATAACGAAATCGTATCAGAGATTTTTGCTTAAATATTTTGTTAACAAAGTGTACACTTTAAGCCCTTAGCCCTTGAAACATTTTCCCAAATGGGAAAACTTCTAATAAAATGTCTCTTTCCATGACCTCTTATACCGCTCAAATCTCATTTTAATTTACGAAAATTTATTTTATGTTTCAAAAATATTCTTCAATTTAACTCAAGTATCTCAAAAATATTCTTTAATTACTATGCGCATGTATAAAATTTGTTATTGTAAGTTTGAAAATGTAAATGCATAGATTCGGGTCAAAATAATTTTGACTTTGGAAATTAAGCCGTTTTCACGATCTGAATAAAAATAATCATAAAAATGGTAAATGAATATTGGTCTTTTCCAGAACTGCAAGAATGTAAAAGTTTTTACTACGATAGCCGATTTGCCCTTTATGTTATTGAAGGAAATTACAATACATACTAGTATGTTCTTGCAGGTAAAAATGTAGATTTTATAAGGAAAAAATTTGACGTTTCAATATAATATACGATCATAAAAAATAATGAATGAAATATTGAATTTTGGCAGTACAGTGCATGGGGCCATGATGTAAAAATTTCAACAACATTTTAAAAGAATGTCAAAAGGGATCTATAGGAAAACAATTGAGTTGCCAATCACTGTTATAGGAAATAAGTGCTTTATAACACATTTAAAACTATTATATCCTGAATTTGTTTGATACTGTTGCATACTTTTAGGATGAATGGTGAAAACTGTTTTTGATCGAAGCACTGACCAAATAATTATAAAATAAAAAATAGATACAGATAGGAATTTAAAACAGTTCAATGTAGTTAGAATTTTACAATTTATAAAAATTGTAATGTCGTAAACATGGCGTTGTTCTTTGTTCTACCAGTGGAGGTTTATTTTTATTTCCAAAAATATATAAAAAAAATATTTAAAATTTCACTAAAATTATTTGCATAAAAATAAATTTAAAATTCTTGAGTCCTTTAAAAGTTATTATCTCATGGAAAATAAAATATTTTTGGTTAAAAATGGATAACGAAAAAAGTATTCTTTTGTAAAATAAATAAAAAAACTAATTTAAAATCCAAATAAAATAATAAATATTTAAAATAAAAGGCAAAAAACTGAAAGAAACGGTTTTCATTTTCCAAATGTTGAAGAAGATGACAAAATACCTCATGATAAAATTTTTGGTATTTTGATGTTAAAAATACTAACACTGTTCTATACCAGGTATTTGATTCAAAATTAAATAAAATTAAAAAAATCTAAAACAATTCAAATTTCATGCAAATTAAAATCATAATTCATTAAAATCTGACAATATTTAGCCTATAACGTATTGCACTGACTTGCTGACGCTTTGACATTTCACGAACCCAATTAAAAATTCTTCAAATCACAGAAATTCTATGATGTGAAAAGTTTTCAATTTGCATTTTCACAGATCTAGTATTGTGAAACCTATTGCCACCATGAGGATAAAACAAAACTTCCATGTTAACGAGCACAAATCACAAATCTTTTAAAAACAACAAATTTGCGAACATAAACTCTGATTCTTTAGCAGCTTGTTGGTGTGGGTCTTGTTCCGTTAATGACAAAAAATTCAAACGCAAATATCGTTTGTAATGCGTGAATACCGCTAATATTTCCACAACACCTAATAATATGCAAAAGAATGGGAAACCAAAACAAGGACCAACGAAAAAACTTGCGAATATTCAAATGATGGCTATAAGCAGCAGAGCGGCTAAGAGGAAGGAGTGGAGTCCAAAACAGTGTTCATTTTGTATGCTTTTAATGTCACTATTGTGTTGTTGCTGTTATTATTGTTTTATTTCTTTCTATTTGTATGCATAGATGTTGGTTTTGTTGTTGTTGCTGCTGTTGTTGTGTTTCATTCACGAGGACATGGTGGAAGGCATTACGTTTTAAAAGCTAAAACAGCAAATATAAACGAGGACAGGAGAAATTGGTAGGGCCTTCGTGTCAATGTCACCATCGACACCAGGTGGGTGGAGGATTTGGCCAGATTCCACTAGACCTCGGTGCCGTCCTCTCCCTCGTCGTCGAATAGCTGACTTGTGCTACCATGGCCATTGCGTGATGCTGTCACGGACATTTTCTTCTTCGGCTTTGGTGGCGGTCTGGGTGGTATTTTGGTTAATTTCGGTTCTGAGCTGTTGCCGCTGTTTGAGATCGTGGTGGTGGTCGTTGTTGTGTTGGCGCTGCTATTGCTGCTGCTGTTGTTGGGCATTATGGCGGAATGATGTCTTGCTGTGCCATATAATGGTTCCGTGTCCGAGGTTGTTGTTGTTGCTGTTGGCTGATGTAGTTGATTAACTAATTCGTGAAGGGGTTCGTAGATTTTACTTGTATTATTGCTGGACATGTTGTTTTGTGGTGTTTGTTGTTGTTGTTGCAGCTGCTGTTGTTGTTGTTGCTGCTGTTGTTGTTGTTGTTGCTGTTGGTAAATCGCCTGTTGCTGTGCTTGATTGGAGTTCACCGATGTGAGACTGGGTGTTGCCGGCAATGGTCGATCCCGCATTGTATAGCGCACTGGCTGTTCCTGTTGCTGCATTAGACTCTTGTTCAAATTAAGAGTTGAGCTACCGCCAGCGGTTGTTCGTAGTCCCAAATTGTCATAGACAGGTTCGACTATCATTTCGGCCGTTGTTGCTGTTCCAGTTTCGCTGGGATTCGGTGAGGTGGGCGATTGAAATTCACTCAATTGTGTCGAATTGGTAGCCGATGACGATGGCGCCCAACTTGGAACTCGTGGTTTGCGTGGTATTGTCATGTAGCCCTGTTTCATAACAACCGCTGAAGTGGTCGCCGGTGAGTAAACAACGGGTGCCGGGACAAACGGTGACTGTTGTTGCCTGCTATTAGCAGCTGCAATAAGTGCTAAATTGCGCGATTTGGGATGTTGCAGGGTCATGAAACCGTTTGGTGTGGCTGCCGCTATGGTCGTGGTACCATAAATGCCATGGGGTGTCATGTGGGCATAGACGGGACTGGTCATTGGCGGTGAACGTATGCCGTAGATAACCTGTTCGGGAATATTCGACTGTGACGATTGCATGGAGGGCGATGTGGGTGGGACACGTGCTGGGAAAGCCAACAAGTCTGGTGGCAGCGTCGTAACATATGTGTCGTCCATGTAGGTGTGGCGTGTACGAGGCACTGTATTGTCCGATGTGGTCACCGAATGAGTTTCATCATCACGATGATGAAGATTTCCTGCAAGTAGTAATGAGAAGAGATAAGGAAAATTAAATAAAAAAAGGTTTATTTAATGGGCGTATTAAAAAATAGGCAATCACAAATAATTTAGGGCATAATTCTTTAAAGCTCTGCTAAATAAAATAGAGATTTAAAATGCAATCCCTAGATATGTGTATGTATGTGAGCTACTAATTTACAACATATATACTTTATACACATCTTTTGTGCCATTGTCATTAGGAATTTTGCAAAAGTTCCTCCTGCTTTGTACGTGTGTGTGTGTGTGGGCAACATTGCCCCCGTATGTTGTCACTGCCTTTTCTAATAAAAACCCGAGTTTCTTTGGCTGTCTCTAAAACATTTTAACCTTTTGGCATCATCCAACGTCATTGTGTTGGTTGGTTGGTGTTTACTTTGTAGATGTTTTTCTTTTGCTTTCATTCTTTGCTGCGCTGCCACTTGAATCTTGGGTCTTGTAACCTCGGGGGCATTCTGGTGCTGTTGCTCGTTTCGTTGCGCCGTAGATATGAAACGTAGCACGCTGTTCATTTTAAATGTTTAAATTAAAACCTTGACAATGTTGTTACATTTTCTAATCTTTAAACATTGCAAAGAGGGGGTTTGTCGCAGAGAAAAAAATAAACAGCTTCAACAAAAGGAGAACGTTAAAGCATGAAATTGAAAAGCATTTCTTACCAAAAAAAAAAAACTTTGTTTCATTTGATTGGCGTTCGGCAAAAGCTAATCAAAACGTTAACACCAAAACATAGGAAAACATAAACCCTACTCTGTTTTCAAGCAACCATAAAAATTTGGAGGTATGAAAGAAGGTATATAGATTTATGTTGTTTTTTTGGAGGAACCATAAAGTAGCTAATTATTTTGCACACACTGTCTAGAATTGATTTTGCTTAAGGGATGAGACTCGGTTAAATCTATCGCTCGATAGAAAAATAATTTAATACTAATGTTGCCAAAAATTAGCTCAATATATTTCAAGATTTGGACGTGGAGTGTTCCCTAATTTTTAAAAATCAAATCTGGATAAAGTCGTTTCTCAAGCTATTTATTGCCGTCATAGACCACATTTTATATACTCAACCATATGGGTACAGAGGGTATGTTTCATTTGATATGGCCAAAACGTGTTTCATCGAAATAACGGTATTAGACCCCAAGTCTCTTTGGGCCAAATCAATTTCACAACATTTGGAGTCCGTCTAGGAGTGTCCGTCCGAGTGTCTTGCTGACGCGCACGTTAACTTTCGAAGGGTGGTCAAAACTTGGTAAATCGTCATCAAACTTAGATCAAATTCGGAGATGGACAATATCAGTTCTTCCCTTCTAGGATCTCCCCCACCAAAGGTCGAACATTTCACAGAAAATATTTTGCTTCATAGAATTTTTTGTAAGTGCATACGAAATAAGTATCCGATTATGTTTAAATATCACACAACTCATAACACCCCTTCTAAATTTCGTAGATATCGGTCCATACCTTCTGGTACCTCCGACACAAATCGTTAACAGTTTGAAAACCAAAAACGCTCATAATATGCGAAATAATCAACCGATTCTCTTCAAATTTCACATATCCCAAAATTAAGATCTGGTTTTAACTGTGATCTGGTGTGAGCCATATCTATGGGCCAACTACTTCTGGTACCTCCCAGTACCTCATAATTTTCGAAACAAGTCAGCGATTTTCTTTAATTTTTCGGCATTCGATTGGTTGTATTATTATTAGATGAAGTGGAATACTTCGGGTAACAGGGTATCTCTTCTGTCTATATAGGTCCACGATATAGTATGTCCTCCATGTAACGGTACCTCCCTATATTCGGTATTTTGATGATTCAGCCAGATTTTTTCAATAGAATTATCTGAAAATCCACACAAGGTGTTCCTTGTGAGTACTTTATCCTCTGGAAAAGAATTGTATATATGGGTCCACGATATCGTTTAGCTCCATATAACGATTCTAGCCGATATTCGGTATTTTGGTGATTTTAGCGACACTATTAACTGGAAAAAAATCAAATTTCGTATATAAAGTTCGCAACGGGTGACAGCCTGTGAAAAAAAAATATCTACACAGGTTCAGGTCTTCGTATAGCCACCAAATATCGGAACCTTCGTATATTTGATATTTTGATGATTTTAGCGACACTATTTACCGGAAAATTTTCAAATTTCGAAATTAAAATTCGCAACGATTACTACAATCTACGAAGGAGAACTATCTATGCATGTCCACATAAAACGAGTTTCATTTGAGCGGCAATTTTTGACGGATTTTTTTTTCAAGTTGGGTGAAAAGTTCGGCAGCTAAACTTAGCTGTTTTTAACTTGTTTAATCTACACTTGCTTTTACTTACTATATACTTTTAGTTCCTAAGAAAAGGACAACAATATGAATAGAATTTATAGCGTCATATAGCGTAAAACACATTTCAATACATCTCTATATAACTATCTTTAACAAATGGAACGTGCATTTTAACTTTTTGCCCCATAAAACCCATAAAGTACCACTTCCATCGAAGAGTTGAGCAAATTACCGTACAAGTTCATAAATGAATATCTATTAGTACATGTGTGTGTGTGCATGAGTATGCTGATGTTTGACAGTATTGCATAAACAGACATTCTCAAGTGTGACCTAATATTGGCATATTTTGACATAGAATTTATGCAAATTTCCCCTTTCCCCCCAAAATGACTTCCCCTCCTCATGTAACTCTAACTTAATTACAAAACATGTTGTGTTTAATTTTGAACATGGCCACAAAAATGGATATGAAGATATTATAAAGTTGTACGTGCGAGTGTGTGTGTGTGTGCGAGTCTGTGTTGAATGCATGTAAATGCTGTTTGCATTTGAATGCATAATCATGCATTTGAAATGTTTTTCGTAATCAAAATGTGAAGTGCATTTGGAAAACGGACACCATTTCAATGTCAGTCAGACAACAAGCTTTCTGCAATGCAGTGAGTAGAGTGCAAATAGATCGGGCATTGAAAAGTTTTAACCCTAAGATTTCAGCAAAAATGTAGTAGCTGTTCGTCATTGTGCTATGAATTACCAGATAAAGACTATTTAATATAAAGAAGGCGTATTTATAATTACCGACATAAAAATTAAGTTATTTCTTATTTTTTTAGTTCACCATTTTTTATACCCTCTACCATACTGTGGAGGATATATTAACTTTGCCATTTCGTTTGTAACTCCTCGAAACCAGACCCAACAAAATATATATATATATATATATATTCTTGATCAGTGTAAAATTCTAAGTCGATTCAGCGATGTCCGTCTCTGTGTGTCTATTGTAATCACGCTATCTTTCGAACGAATTAAAATTTTGCACATGCATTTAGATAATTTTAGCGACATTATTCACCGGAATTGTTTCAAATGTGGTATGTGAAGTTCGAAATGGATACTACAGCCCAAGACAGAAAATTATCTGTGCAGGTCCACGACTTCGTATAGCTTCCATATAATGGTACTTCCAAATATTCGTCATTTTGATGATTTTAGCGCCATTATTTACTGGAACAGTTTCAAATTACGTATTAAGAGTTTACAATGGGAGCTGCAATCTGTGACAGAAAATTTTTAATGCAGGTCCAGGTCTTCGTATAGGCCCCATATATCAGTACCTCCCTATACTCGGTATTTTGACGATTTTATGTACAATACTCACCGAAATTGTTTTGGATGTCGTATTTGAATTTCGTAATGGGAACTACAACATGTGACAGAAAATTGTCTATGCAGGTCCAGGTCTTCGTATAAGCTCCATATATCAGTACCTCTCTATATACGGTATTTTGATGATTTTGGCTACATTATTCACCGTTTATTTCAAGTTTCGAATTTGAATATGGTAATGGCTTCTGACAAACAAAGCCTATGTGGGTCCACGTATAAAGGCTATATTCGGTATTTTTAACCAAATGGTGGAGGGTATTTAAAGTTTGGCCGGGCCTGCTTTTTAAATTGTTTTTCTTTTTTATGCTTCCAACTTTTTGGATCTACTTAAAAAATTGAACTGCAGCACAGCTTTAGCCCCCTTTCTAAGTCTCCTTTGAAATGGTGTAATCATATTCAAATCATTCGACATATTTGTATTCTAAAGTCATAGATTTTATAGTTGTTTGATTACTTGAGTATTATTTACCAAACACACACACGCACACACTCTCTCACATAACAATACGTTGACATGCTGTCAGTATTCAAAATAAGTTTAGTTTTCAAATACAAACTATTCGGAATATTGACACATTGATTTGTCATTTTTGTCATTTTGTCAACGTGTGTTAGAAAATGGTAAATAGGAATTATAGGAACGCCACTAATTTTTGTAAAAAACCTTCAAACATTTTTTATGTAACTAAGATTTTACTAAACAATATATAAAGTTTTTGGGAGATGGTCTTAAAGTTAAAAGTAGCCAGGATTTGATAGAAATAATAGATATTTTAAGTAGCTATTACTATTTTTGCCTTTATTATCGGCTCATAATATTTCGTGGGCTTTTTAATAAGATCTTAGGCTCATTTCTCTAACCCGAAATTCGAGAAAATTAAACAATTTGTAAGATTTTAACACATTCGACAATTAAGATTCGTTCCTGTAAACTTCGAATATCCCACAAGGATGCTTAATCTGAACTATGTTTTGGTGCATGTTTGAAGTTGGAGATTCGTCTTTTCACGATTTTAATCTATAAATAACTACAGGGATAGATGAAAAAACTGAAACCAACTTCGGACTGCTGTCATTTCTAAGCCTCTCGTCTGACAGCTGTTAAAATTATTCCAGTGATAGCTTATTATATTGTTTACAAGCGTATAAAAACAATTTGGTAAGAATTTTCCCAAAAAAAGGTTATTCGAGATGAAATTCAAGCGTGATAGTGTGATTTCTTTATATTTGGCTGGAAAACCCCAGCATTTAAATGTGAAAAAATCTTTTGTGTCTCGTACCATCGCGCGTTACCGTGATACTGGTATCGTAGCGCGACGTCAAGGAAGTGGACGGAAGAAAACAGCAACAGCTGCAGAAATGGCTCGAAAAGTAAAGAAGCGACTTGATCTAAATCCGCGTCGCAGTGGCCGATAAATGGCTCGTGAACTGAACATATCTCAATATTCCATTCGGCAAATAATGAAAAATGCAAGAACTTACACCACAGCAGAAAGAAAATAGACTCAAATGAGCTAGAAAGTTTCTTCGCTCGGCCGAAAGTGGTGAACTGCCGAATATGGTTTTCTCCGATGAGAAAACATTCGTTGTCCAGCAGTTTGTAAACAAACAAAATGATCGTGTTTACTTGCCAAAGAGGTCAGCTGAAAATGTGCACCTTTGGTTGGGCACCAAAACTCAAACGCCGGCCATGGTGATGGTGTGGGCCGCCATAACAGCCGATGGTCGCTCTCCGCTCGTATTAATCGATCGTTGCTCGTATTAATCGATCGTGGCATGAAAACGAAAATTTTCTGGAGGGTGTATTTATGCCTTGGGTACGCAAACATTCAGACCTTGGACATCCAACAGGACTCAGTCCATCGCACTCAGCACGCGCCACCCAAGAATGGTTATAAAATGAGGTTCCTCGCGTCATTTCTAGCGCACAATGGCCATCAAAATCTCCGGATACCAATCCGTTGGACTATTGTGTCTGGAGTATTTTGGAAAGCAAGGTTGGCACTAAAAAATACAAGCAAGCGCTTCGCCGGGAATGGGCCAAAATACCGCAGAGCAACATTCGGGCAGGCTGTGACGATTTCATTGTCCGTTTGAAGGCCACAATTCGTGCCAAAGGTGACTAATTCAAACTAATCTAAACTTATTCTAAAATTTGATGCTATTTTCGACCTTTTTTGCTTTCATTCAATAAGATTTTAAAAAAATTTAAAAATTATGGCGTTTGACTTTGTTGCAGCTTTTTTTTATCTCAACCTGCATATGCTTAATTTTCTCCGCCCCATATAGTATATTTGTTGATTCCGGAATTAAGCAAATTATATCCAGAGAACGGCCCTTGTAAGCCATCATCCACACCAAATATGCCTGATGAGCCGCTTAACCAACGGCGAAACGCGTCGCATAGTGGTGAGTGTGTGATAGTGTCTATCTGGCTTTCCTTTTCACTGCAAATTTCAGATCATTAAGCTCGTCTCGAAAGAGAAAACAAACACATATCTCTTCAATTGTTTTTAATAATTCAAAGATTGCCTTTCAATATCCCATGGTCAAATAGTTATTAACTTCTGTCCGGTGAAAATAAATTTCTTCTTCGAAAATAAGTGTTGTGTGTGCATACGTATGATATAATTCAGCTAATTATCTTCCTTGTAGAGCTAAAGCTCTGAAAGGACTTTTTTTAAATCCAGCAAAAAAATTAACAATCGTCCATAAAATAAATAAATTTCCTCTTCATTAAACTCGTTTTAGTTATGGCGTTTGTTCTTTTCTTCTTGAATTCTTTTTTCGGCCATTCCCTATTCATTTTCTGCAGAGCCTTAACTTTCGCCACGAATTGCCAAAGGAGGAAATAAAGAAATGAAACTTACCAAATTGCGTTTCATCCAACAGAGTCTTCTTAATCTCGTGACCATCATCGCCGCCATTGCCATTGCCCACCCCATCCATATTCTCCAGCTCTGTGCGCCGTGGCGGTTTTTCGACGGGATTAACTTCTGTTAGTAGGCTTTTTTGCATTTCCATGATGACCGAACCTTCGAGCATTGAATTGTGTGTTTTATCCATTTTCGAGGAGATTAAGCCATTCTCGCTCATCATCGTTGTATCCTTTTGATAGGTTTTGGAGCGACGACAATACCAGCATATGACGAGAATTATGACGACAAGCAGCAGCAAGAGTGTGGTGGCAATCAATCCAATGATGAGTAAAATATTGGGCTCCGTTTCAGAGGTGGACGTGCTGAGGCCGTGGACTCGATTCTTGCCCGAACCATTGAGGGGACTGTAGTAGTCACCGTTTATAATTAGCTGGAATTCAGCTTCTGCTTTGCCGCCCCGATTGTCTGCAATGCAGGTGTAGGAGCCTTTGTCGGTGGGTCGGACACCAATGATGCGCAGCTCTGAATTCAAAGTGTTCGGACTTTCGGCACGATGTTGTTCAACGGAGTTGAGAATTTTAAAACGGGCATCGTTGGGATTGATGGGTCTCTTGTTGTAGAGCCATGTCACATTTGGTCTGGGTGAACCCTCAATGCGGCATGGTAATGTTATGTTATCCGAATGGACATCGACGTAGGAGCTTTCAGAACCCAATATCCGTGGTTTGCAGGCAAAGTTTTCCGAAGGAATTTCATTCCAGAGTTTCCCCTTCAAATGTTGCGGTTCATTGCAATCCGTGGGAGGAGTATACAGTCGATTGGCCAAGGCGAAATCTCGGAATTCCTGCAGCTCACATGTACAATTCCATGGATTTGAGGCCAAGGAAAGGTGCACCAATTTTGGAGTCCGTTGAAATGTTTCTCTTCTCAAAACGGTCAGTTCGTTGTTCTCCAAATAGACGGCCGATAAAACTGGCAATTGTCCAAAGGCATGAATGTCTATGCGCTTAAGTTTGTTGTTTTTAAATTCCACGCGCGAGAGGAAAGGCAGGTCCACAAACAGATGATTGTCCAAGGCTTCGATTTGATTGTTGTTCATGACCAAGTTGCGCAACTTAACCAGGCCATTGAAGGTGCCCACATGCAGCTCCTTGATGGAGTTATGCGACAAATCCAGTTCAATTAATATTGTCAGACCTTTGAGGGCATCTCGGTTTAGCTCTTGTATGGTGCAGTACTTCAGGAAGATCTTGTGCAGATTCTGAAGATTTGCATCGCTGAATTCGTCCCTTCTCAGTTCGGGAATCTTGTTATTGGAGAGATCAATGACTTGCAATTCGTTACTCAGATCATTGGGTATTGTGTAAAGCTGTCGGTTTTTGCAATCTGCTGTCTTTTTGCCCGAATTCCAGTGGCAATGGCAGTTGCTACAACTCTGGATCCAGTCAGAGTTGGCAACAGTGGTGGGCAGGTTCGTCAGCACAACGCTCGTTAGGAAGAGAATCTGTGTTAGCCAATAGTGCAGGCGGTACCATGTCATTTTGATGGTAGGCTTCCTTCTGTGTGTGGATGTGGCCATAATGTGTTATTTGACGATGGTCGTGGTGGTGGTGGTGGTAGTGATGATGATGATAATTACCAGGGTGGTGGTGGTAATGGGATTTCTTATTGTATTTCAAGTGCTGAAGCGATGTTCGCAATAAAGTTGTTTAATTGAAACGCACTGAGAGTCTCATTAAATATCTTCAATTTTTTATTAGTTCTCGCCCAACTTTCCTCTGCTTATTCGACTCGGTGGTCCCTCGTGGCAGCAAAGTAGCTTTTATTTAAGCCAATTTAATGGGTGGCAGCAGAACCCAAGTTCAAATATTGGGTATACCTTCGTGGTGCTGCCGCCCAACTTGTTAATTCCTGTGGAATGTTTAATGCTTGTAAAGCACAACCAACCAACCATCTATTAAGGACGACAAGCCAATGTCGCCGTCAGCCGCTAGGACAATGACTAGCAGTCCACCGAGCCCGTTATGATGTTGCTGACGTTGATGATGACGACGACAACGACGACAATGATGATGAGGACGTAGATGATGATAATGTTGATGTAGTCTTTAGTGCCGTTGTTGGGTGGTTTTTGGACTGCGTGTGTCCTTTATTTCTTATTAATTAATGTCCTCGTCGTTGCTGTTGTTGTTGAAGCTGTTTTCCTTTTTTTATGTTGCGAATTGTGGTGCGAGATTGTGTTCTTGTTGTTGCTGTGCAGTGTGGTGGGAGTTGATGGCGTTGTTGTTGACACTCCTTTAAATGTCAGCATTTGCCTGTAGATTTACAGCTGGTAATTAGCATAATATCATTGTATTTAACACGTTCGGCAACAAATACATTAACACTGTTCTTCTGGCCTGTAACGATACAAATACGAAATGGAAAAATTCATTATTAGAAACATACGCAGCGAACAAATTCGTCATTTGCTAGAAACATGAAAACAAAGTAATTAAAGAAAACTATATTAGAAATAAAGGCATAAGAATAATTTCGATTAGAATTTTAATGTTAAGCGTCTTAAGGAACAAATGCTTACAAAGCAGCTGAACATGTAGTCAAATCGTGAAATTATTTCTAACCCAAGTAACTGCACAATGGGATTAATAACAAACAAAGGATAATCAAGGGGAGAGGACTTTTCCCGGGGAGGACTTTTCCTGAATACAATTTGAGAAAAGGAAAATTGGGTTTCAGTGATAATCCAGTGAACAATAGAGAATTCGAATTTAAATTTGATGACAGAATATTTAAAGAACCTATGCATAGAACAAAAAAAAAAAAAAAAAAAAAAAAACAATAATAATTTGCCTTTTTTTTTCATAGTCCTGAGACACCTCTGAATAAAATTAAAATTACAGGGTGAGATAAAAAATACTGCGGTATTTTGGCTCATTCCCGGCGAAGCCTCTACTTGAGGTGATCGACACTGTGGCATTTTTTAGCGCCAACCTTGCTTTCCAGACCCAATAGTTCAACAGATTGGTATCCGGAGATTTTGGTGTACATTGTGGGCTGGAAATGAAGCGATGAACCTCATTTTGTAATCATTCTTGGGTAGCGCGTGCTGAGTGCGATGGTGCTGAGTCCTGTTGGAATGTCTAAGGTCTGCGGGCAAAATGTTTGCGTGCCCGAGGCTTTTATACACCCTCCAGAATATTTTCGCGATAATATTCGGCATTTATTCTGATGCCACGGTAGATAAATACGAGCGGAGAGCGACCATCGGCTGTTAAGGCGTTGAGTTCTGGTGGCCAACTGAAGGCACATTTTCAGCTGGCCTCTTTGGCAAGTAAACACGACAACGAATGTGTTCTCATCGAAGAAAACCAAATTCGGCAGATCACCACTTTCGGCTACGCGAAGCAACTCCTTAGCTCTTTTGAGTCTATTTTCTTTCTGTTGAGGTGTAAGTTTTTCACTTTTTGCAATTTCAATAGCTTTATACAGATTACGCCGATTTTTCAATATTTGTCGAATGGAATATTGCGATATGTTCATCTCACGAGCCATTTTTTGGCCATTGCGACGCGGGGTTCGATCAAGTCTCTTCTTTACTTTTCCAACCATTTCTGCTGATGTTGTTGTTTTTTCCCGTCCACCGCCTTGACATCAGGCTACGCTACCAGTATCACGGTAACGAGAGATGGTATGAGACACAAAAGATTTATTCACATTTAAATGCTGGAGTGCTCTAACGATATCCACTTGTGGTTTTCCAGCCAAATATGAAGAAATAACACTGTCACCCTTGAATTCCATCACGAATAACTTTTTTTCAGGAAAATTCTCACCAAAATGTTTTTGTACGCTTGTAAACAATATAATGAGCTGTCCGGGGAATAATGTTAACAGGTGTCGGACGAGTGGCTTAGAAATGACAGCAGTCTGAAGTTGGTTGCAGTTTTTTCATCTCACCCTATATGTAAGATACATTTAATTTGCATTTTTCTAAACCTCTCCCAATGTGGCAAACGGGATTTGTTGACCTTAGGACTTTTGTGAAAAGGGTAGATGGTAATTTGCATTCGCATTACTATGTTGCTGACATTAAATACCTCTTAATTTATTTCGGCGAGGACGAAATAAAAAAAATAAATCACGACTCATAAAATGTTTTTTTCGTTATTCGTTAGCTGGTATTTGAGCAGATCCTTTTTGTCATTATTTTCTAGTTTTGTTTTTCTGCTAAGCCAAATTTAGGGCTGTTATTGTGTTCACTCTTTCCTTGCCGTTGTTGTTCTTATTTTATGTTAATGATGTTGGTGGTGATGGTCTATTTTTATGCTGTTGGCCAGCCAGTCAGCCAGCCAGGGAGCCAGCATGAGAGCGACATGGCATGAAAAATTACAACCTTTGACAAATGACCCTGAAAAGCTTTCATTTGTCGGCATGTCAGGGATTTGTTTTAATCAGCAACTCTTTAAGACTTAATTTGTCATGAACGTTTAGACACTTGTGAAAGCTTATTCAGATTTTGTCTTTCGCACTTATCCTCGCCCAACACCCAAATACACAATAACATCAACGGCCAGTACACACAAAAATATCCACAATATTAATTAAGTTAGAAACATAAGATGCGAACGTTAAGTAGTAAAAACGAAATAATATTATTAAAATGCAATGTAGAAACTTTTTGGGGCTTAGGATTTGTGATAAGAATACTTAGCACAAAACAGAACATCTCAGACTGATTTTAATGAGACAACAGAGTCTGATGATTGATGGTAGTTGGTAGCTGAGATGAAAAGGTTATGGCTGTGTTTACATGACTTTTCGCGGCACAACGATACGCACAGACGAAATTAGCACAACAGATTTGTGGTAAAAAGGGGTTAGAGTTATAGCTGAAAGAGGTGCTTTTTGAAAAAAAGAACAACAGCTGTATTAAATGCTGAACACACCAAATAACTCAAAATATTTATTTATTTATTTTGCGGAAACGCAATATTGATGCAAAAAGTATTTTTTTATTTGAGCTAGAATTATTGAGTTCAATATCGTCCACATAGTCTTCACCATGGCCTATATAAGGTCGGCCAGTAAGCCCATCTGACAACCACCAAGTTTGTTGTCGAATGTTGTGTTTTTGGCAGACCTTATCTAGGCGTTGGTCTTCACAATTTTTTATTTATTTATTTTTGGTAGTAGACAGTATTCAGAAAATAGTAATTGTGAATCAAATGAGTCAAAATATTCTAAAAATGTCGTACAATTTCACTGTTCAATAGCCATTCTGGGTTGTAAAAATTTCCAAGTGGAACCCATAGTACTCGTTTGAATATCAAAACCCCAAAGGAGTTTCAGGTTCTTAGGCCAAAAGTTATTAAGGCGCTTATATAGTTTTGAACATATACAAAGGGACCCCTATAATTTAATATATTCAGGGTGAGATGAAAAAACTGCAACCAACTTCAGATTGCTGTCATTTCTAAGCCACTCGTCCGACAGCTGTTAAAATTATTCCAGTGACAGCTCATTATATTTTTTACAAGCGTACTAAAGCATTTTGGTAAGAATTTTCCAGAAAAAAATTTATTTGTGACGGAATTTAAGCGTGATGGTGTGATTTCTTTATATTTGGCTGGAAGCCACAACTGGCTATAGTTAGAAAACATCTTTTGTGTCTCGTACCATCGCTCGTTATTGTGAAACTGGTAGCGTGGACCGACGTCAAGGAAAACAGCAACATCAGCAGAAATGGTTCGCAGAAGAAGCGACTTGACCGAAACTCGCGTCGCAGTGGCCGAAAAATGGCTCGTGAGCTGAACATATCGCAATATACCATTCGGCCATTGAAATTCCAAAAAGAGCAAAAACTTACACAGCAACAGAAAGAAAATAGACTCAAAAGATATAAAGAGTTGCTTCGCTTGGCCGAAAGTGGTGATCTGTCGAATTTGGTTTTCTCCGATGAGAAAACATTCGTTGTCCAGCAGTTTGTAAACAAACAAAATGATCGTGTTTATTTGCCAAGGAGGTCAGCTGAAAATGTGCACCTTCGGTTGGTGTGAGCCGCCATAACAGCCGATGGTCGCTCTCCGCTCGAATTAATCGACCGTGGCATCAGAATAAATGTCGAATATATCGCGAACATTTTCTGGAGGGTGATTTAAAGCCGGGGGCACGCAAACATTTTGGCCGCAGACCTTCGACATTCCAACAGGACTCAGCACCATCGCACTCAGCACGCGCCACCCAAGAATGGTTACAAAATGAGGTTCTTCGCTTCATTTCCAGCGTACAATGGCCACCAAAATCTCCGGACACCAATCCGTTGGACTATTGTGTCTGGAGTATTTTGGAAAGTAAGTAAGGCACTAAAAAATACCAAAGTTTAGATCCACTGAAGCAAGCGCTTCGCCGGGAATGAGCCAAAATACCACAGAGCAACATTTGGGCAGTGTGTGACAGTTTAATTGGCAGTTTGGAGGCCATAATTCGTGCTAAAGGGTACCAATTCGAACAAATCTAAACTTATTCTAAAATTTGATGCTATTTCCGACATTTCTTGCTGTCATTCAACAAAATTAAAAAAAAGTAAAATTATGGCGTTTGACTTTTTTGCAGTTTTTTATCACACCCTGTATTTAAAAAAATTTAGGATAGAGATTTGAAATTTGATTTGGTCTATGTCCAAGCTCATTAATAAAGAACATGGATCATATCAAGTGTTTTTATGATTTGGCTATGTTTCTATTTAATTTTGCCCAATTTTGGAATTTTAAATTTTTATTATGTAGAAACGCTATTTACAAACAATTATACCAAAAAAATGTTATTTAGGATTTTTTTTGGAAATTAAACCTCGTTTCACATTAAGAGCTTCCATGCTAGAGAAGATATATTGAGAAGAGATATTTAATGATATTAATGATAAATATGAAGTAATTTGAAAACTAGACAACAAACGATAGAATTCTATTTGGAATCGAAATGACATATAAAGGATGAGTGCAGTTTTAAACATATTTTACCAAAAACCAGTGAAAACTGTTAAACGTCCATGTTCCACAATAAATTATTACAATGCGTTCTTGCTCCTTGAATTACTCTTCTTGTTAAAGTTCCAAATATTTCGGAAGGAATGCTTCTATTTCATTTTTCCTAATATTTGTTACTTTCGCCTTTAACGATGAAAGCAGACATTTTTATACTCTTTTACATTTCAATTTACAGTCAATTTGATACTCATCGTTTGTAATGGCATTTGGTTACTTTTGTCGGCAACAGTTGCAACATCAAAGAGACCCAAATACTTGAATAACCGCACAAAGTAAATTTAAACTATTATTTTGGTAATAACCGCTCTTTGTTGCATTTTTATTTCGCCATTGTTGGCAGCAGCATGGAT